GAATACTAGGACAGCAGGAAGGTAAAAAAACTTAAAGGTTAAATAATTTCTGTTGTGCAAACTCATCAACATCATGGGTATGCTGAGACATTGTGCTGTAGCTATCAGAAGCCAACTATAACTTTTGAGTGGAGACTAATATAATCAAGTCCTTATATTAAAGAAAAAAACCCTACCATTTCTGTGTATGGTGAATTAGTCCAAGAAAAGAGTTGGGACTTGGAAACCATGACATCTTTGCTAATCATGAGGTAAAGAGATGTTGAAATGTGAACAAGGTCTATAGAAAGGAAAGTCTGGATCTCAAAAGCTTGGGTTTTGGGGAGGTGGAAAATATAAGAATTATAACAGCTTGAATGTAGGAGGTAAGAGAGGAGGAGATGTTGCAGAATGTGCCAAGATTTCTAGGCTGGAAAACTTATGGCTGACTGGTAAAGCCATTGAGGGAAAAGATAATTCTGTTTTATATACATTGAATTTAAATATACTGAACTGAAACAAGTGCAAAATAGTAACAGAAAGTGTTCCAGCTAGGGGATGGAATGCCAATCTAGAATTCAAGAGAAATTTAGGGAGTTTAAATGTAGATTAGAAGAAAATTTGCATGAAGACTGTAAGTGGTTGAAATTGCTGAGAAAGTAGAGAGGTTCCATTAGGCTGACCACACTATCTAAGGCAGATGACTGTGTAAACCCTCCAAGGCAATTCCCATTCAATAATCATCTAATTAGAAAGGACTTGGAATGTGTGTGCCTCTAACTACATCCTCTCTCTTAAGTTGATCTGAGTCTTCAGTTTTATGTTAGAATCTTCAATATCAGTATATCCAAGACCAAATTCTACTCATTGCCCCTCAAATCAGAATTCCAGAGATTTCTCTCCTATTCCAGAATTTCTCTTTGACTCATTGATACTATCATCCCTCTGCTCATCCAGACCTCATAACCCTTGACCTCTGCGTTTCTCACTGGCCAATCCGGTCCTCTAGGCTCACATTTGTGTATGAGAATTTATGTATTTGTCTATTACGTATCATGTATTTGAGTCCTTCCCTTCTTCCTATTGCTCCAGTCCTCGTTTCGACCAGTTATTCTTTATAGAACCACTGCAATGCCTTTTTCACTAGCCTCCCTTGTCATCACCTCCCACCACCTCACTCATCGTACTGCATAAAACTAAATGAAAAAAATGTAGTTTAAACACTTAGCCCAGAGCCAGGATTGTAATACTTAGTTCATGACAGCAAGTGTTATCAGTACCATATTATTATTGTTGTTAATAATCATTAATAATAATTGTTACAGCAATATAAGATTGCCAAAAATAATACTATCATTAATAATAATAACCTTAACTGTTGTTTCAGATTTGAAAATACCCCTTTAAAAGAATACAGCTTGTCTTTGCTAATTTTCTTCTACGTGTTTACTCTTTATCTTTTCTTTACAGTGCAGGGATTGGTAGAACAGGCTGTTTTATTGCTACTTCCATTGGTTGTCAACAGTTGAAAGAAGAAGGAGTTGTTGATGTACTAAGCATTGTCTGTCAGCTTCGTGTAGACAGGTGAGTGTCTGCAGACTTAAAAACAGTGTATCAGTTACAGCCCGACTGTGTAAACATCACAAGCTCTAAAATTCTGAATCTCTGTAGAAGCTTCTGTAAAATGTTTAAGAATGTATAGTATGCTTAAAAACCAGGGCGCAAATGTTATTTGCGACACTGAACATCAAGAATCCAAAACCAAAAGCTTATGCTTAATCCTTTTTGATCTCTAACAGAGAGTGCTTGTGATGATAGCTGTTTGTTCTTACTGCAACACCCTATTTCTTTATCGGTACATTGCATTTTCATTTGGTTTTACTGAATCATTCACCGTAGGATCTTCATCCGTTAAAATGAAGTATATGTCATACTACCAAGAGTCAAGCTATGTTTTTTAATTGGGAAAAATGGGCTTAACAAAATTTGGCACATTTACCATTTAAAAAAAATTTTTTTTTGTTTTACATCATTCTTCATTTTGTGAATTTTTCTATCTTGGTTGTAATTCCCGTGCACTCCCACTACCAATTCACCTTGTGCCATCACAAGTCCTGTGTACCTTTCCCACATCTCTCCCGCCCCATATTTTATCCCATTCCTCTCTCCACCCCGTAAAATGTCTCTAGTATATAGTTGCTCATTATTTTTCTTTCCTTTTTTTTAATTACAAGTGCATTTCCCCCCCCCAAACGCCCCAGTATGCTCCTGCTATGAGAAACCATCCAGTATTACATGTACCTTTTTTTTTTTAAAGATGTATTTATTTATGCATACAGAACTGGGGTATAGGCCAGAGGTTCAGGGGCAGTGACAGGATTCACCAGAGACAGAGTGGGGAGCAGAACAGGCCACCTGATGAAGTACACTGC